TCGTCAGAGGGGGGCTGGGGGTCTCAGAGGATAGTGGGTAGTGGAATTTTACCAGAACAGGTGTGGCTACATTCTTCTGGGACTCCTGGGGTTAATGGATAAGTGGGGAAGAGAGAGGGGGGAAGGGGTCTATCTTTCCGTGACATCCCGGTGATCTTCCGCTCCGCCTGTCCCTATCTACCACATCTCCCCCCTCCTTATCACATACAAAATGAGGTAGTTGTAGGTAGAGGCACTGGAGTGAGGTACAGACTTGTAACTTGTTAAGGAAAGGGTGGTTTAGTAGATCAGGGTAGATTTTTCAAGGCAGGTGCTGAAGGCTTTAGCTACTGACTGTGTTTGCAGATTTTTGGTTTACAGCATTTGTTGGTGGCCTATGAACAGAATGTTTGCCCTTTCCAGACGGGCTTGAACAAACGAGACTAGTTTGTTCAGCAGGCATGGTCCTATGGTAATAGCCAAAAGCAGTATTGCCAGTGGACCTACCAGGGCAGAAATTAAAGTGGTGAGCCAAGGTGATTGATTGAACCAGGATTCAAACCAGCTCTGCTGGGTCTCCCTGTCTCTCTTTCTCTGAGCCAGTCTGTCTCGGAGTTCTGCCACGGAGTCTTTAACGACTCCCGTATGATCTGCATAAAAGCAGCATTCCTCCTTCAACGCTGCACACAATCCCCCCTGCTGCATAAACAAAAGGTCAAGTCCCCGCCTATTTTGTAAAACTACTTCTGAAAGCGAAGAGACTGATTTCTCTAGATAGGAGATGGATTTCTCGATCCTCTGCAGGTCTTCGTCGATGGTCATTTGCAGCTGGGAGAGTCCGTGCTGTTGGGTTGCGATGGCTGAGACACCTGTGGCTGTGCCAGCTGCTCCCAAGCCGAGCAGCATCGCGATAGTTATACCTGTGATGATTTCCCTTTTGTGGAGTCTGTCAGGTTCTTCGAGAAGATGGTATATTTCTTCGTCTGAGTGATGTAGGACCTTAGAAACAATCGGAACTTGGACACAGAAATTGATAGAGTTATTAAACTTGGCAAGGAACATATAAGGATTTACTCTGGGTTTTTGGCAAACTTACATCTTAAATGTGGATGGGACTATTTACTTATTGGTCTTTTGTGGGGAGTGTCTCACTTGCACTGGTGGGGGATATTGGCTGTGGAGTAACTGAAGGGGGTATCTAAAGCATTGCTTTCGTAGAAAAGGGGGTTTAATATCATAGTAAAACTAATAGGGGTTAGTCAGGTTTGATTTGGTTTCATTTAGGGTTAAAAAGGTAGCTTTTAAACAGGCTGGCTATGTGGAACACGAAGGATGGGGTATTTATTATGGTGACTTTTTTGAGCACTTTGTTACTTGATAGATGCTGTATGACCCACCTAAATAGCTGATGAGGGTAGCGGCTTGGGCCAGCTTGTTTTCCTGGCTACAAGTTTCTAAACAGCAAAATTGCATGAAGAAAGACACTGTGCATGTTTGGATTTCACCACCGTGGGATTCTCAGGTGTTGTCTGGCAGTTTGGTGGTCTGTCATTTCTTTCTGGAGCAGGGGTGTGTGTGTCACTGGGATGGTTCACAAGCGTGCCCTGCAAACAGAACTTATAGCTTTTTATTAGTTTTGTTTTGAGGGTCAGGTTCGGTTGGTAGCAGTGGTGTGCAGCAGTGGCTCTCATAGTTTCACCACGTGGGGGTTCCGACTGCCACAGAGGCAGCACGTCCCCCACATCCCCGGGGGCTTTCTCCCCACTTTTATGGCCAGGGCTACCCCGGGGTCCCGTATCGGGGCATTCCCTGCTGACTCTGCGGCACAGGCGCTGCTTGCGGTGGGAGGGGGCTGAGTTCGCCCGCGCGCGCCACCCCCCCCATCCCCGTGTGTCCGGGGCTGGGACCCGTATTCCTTGGCGAGACGCCCTTTTTTCTCGCAGTTCCAAGGGGTATTGTGACTGCTTTTCAGTGTGGCTTAGAACTCTATTAGGTTTTGTTTTAAACTGTGCTGGTTCCGTATCTTTTGTTTCGGAGTTCCGGCTGGCCCCCGCCGGCTCGGAGCTGGTAGAGCTGTTGCTAGGCTCCGCGCCGGAAATGAAATGCCAGGGCACTTCCGGGGCTCCACGCTGTTTTGTTCGGCCCCGGGCTCGCTCCACCCTGCGGGGGAGGGGCCGCTCCCGCCCCCCCCGACTCGCCGCGCCCCCTGCGGGGGGTGGTTTTTGCTTTATATGGTGGCAGCTCCCGGCGCGGCTGCCGATTGGCTCTGTGCCCCGAGCCGCTCTCCGCCCCTTTCTCCCGCGCGCGCGCGCCCTTGAAGTCGCGCGGTGTCCGAGTTTTCGCGCCGGGACCGCCCGGGCCCCGCCCCTCTTTGCCGCTCCCGGCGCCATGTTCAAGGCAGCAGCGTGGCCACGCGGCTGTGCTTTCTCGGGCCGCGGCTTCTGCGTTTCGGGCTTTTCCCGCTAGCCCCCGCCAAAAGCGCTCCGCGCGCGGCTGCGCTTTCGGCAATGGACTTTTGACCGGCGGCGGCGGCGGGACGTATCGGCAAGCCGCGGTTTTTCGGGGCTTTTTTGCGGCGGGGGTTTCCCGGGGGTTTTCCGCGGCGGGGGTGTCCCGGGGGGCTTCTGCGGCGGGGTTCGGCGCTGCTCCGCTCGGCGCGCCGGCGGGGAAGCGGCACGGAGCCGTGGGTGGGTCCGATTCCCGGCGGGAGCGGGGCCGCGCTGCTCGGAACGTGCCGCTCCGGCGGCAGCGCTGCCTCTGCCGGGCTGGGCTGGGCTCAGCTCTGCGGCGGGGCCAGGCTGCGCTCTGATCCGGGGAAGGGGGTGTCGCGCTGAGCCCTCCCGGGTCTTCGCTCCCGGGTGGACTCTCCTCAGGGACGGTCCGCGCTTTCGCCCCCCCCCCCGAGCTCGGGTCTGACTAATAAACACATATGTGCTGCACTCTGCGTCTCCTGCTTTTCTATTGCTTTGCGCGGGGTCTTTTTTACCTTGCTCCGTGCCGTAAAGCTCTTGCCACTGTCTGAGGATTTTTCCTCCCCGGCTAGCGTGGCTGTACACTGTTCCCACATCCCCGGATGCATAGCATCCACTGAGCATTCGGTTGCTCCAAGTTCAGGCAGCCTTGCTATAGCAAGATAAAAGTTCCTGAGCTTAAACGCGATATTCCATTGCTTCATACTTACGACCCATGCGACGCTGCCTATGACGCTCGCGGGTCCGGGGACGTCTCCCCTACGCCTGGGTACGGTCCGACCGTCCCGGCTGCTGCTTCTGTCCAGGTGAATCCCGTCCACCGGGGGGTTTTTTCCTTTTTTTTTCTTCTTTTTTCTTCTTTTCTCCCGGGTTTCGGCACCAGATATGTTGCCTTTATGAGAGGCAACGGCGACCTGGTTACAAGAAGACAGCACGGCAGCCCGGCCTCACCCGGGCTACTCGGACTAATGACACACGCTGACACCAATTTGGTGGACGGTCGAAAGCGTTTATTATCTTATCTCATGGGTTTAAATAGTCTTGGGCGACTTTGCTTCGTCAGAGGGGGGCTGGGGGTCTCAGAGGATAGTGGGTAGTGGAATTTTACCAGAACAGGTGTGGCTACATTCTTCTGGGACTCCTGGGGTTAATGGATAAGTGGGGAAGAGAGAGGGGGGAAGGGGTCTATCTTTCCGTGACATCCCGGTGATCTTCCGCTCCGCCTGTCCCTATCTACCACAGTCTTCTAAGTAGATATCCTCAAAATAATTTCTGATGATTGAAACTAAAGGAATTATGGTTCCTTATTTTAGTTAATCCTAGCATAATTTTTGTAGATATGAATGTTTAAATTACAAATCTACTGTTTGTGAAACATTTTGCAGCCTATGACAGTCAGCTTTCAAATTGCCTCCAGATTAAAACTATAATTTTTCATATAAAAAGTGAAGTCCAACATTTCTATGCCTCTACCATTAAAGTAGTCACAAATCATTACTCAGAGTGCAAATTACAGGTTCATAATACCAGTATTGTCAGAAAACTGCATTCCTTTGACACAGAAATGTCAAAGCAGCACTTTGTTCTAGACTAGCATGACTTGAGTATGAGGTTCTCGACATAATTCTCTACCAAGTTCCTAACTAACTTTGTATAAGAAATTTCACTAATTTAACAATGAAAATATTATAGACTAGTTAAAAGCAAGAAAAAGGAATGATGACAAATAAACAGCATTTTCAAAGATTGGAAATAAATTGAGCACATCTCATCAAACATCTCTACACCTTGCCACGATTCATGCTGATTTTTTCTTTGGAGAACCTGGATAACATGGAAGAAGAGTCCATTTCGAAAAAGTTATTCTGTGAGTGTTAGCCTTACTACCATGGGAAGCAGAAGAATGAAGTAAGCAGGATAAGGTCAACACATTAACATTTACATGAGTTCAGATCCCATATAGCTTTAATCCTCTTCAGTGACAGGCAAACCATCAGAGAGGGGGAAATGAGACTTCAACATTAATTCAAAATGCCTGGTTTAACCTTTAGAAAATAATTCAATTTTTTCTTTCTTTCCCTTTCCTGTTCTCCTTTCCATACACCACAAAGGCACTTTTCTCCAAAATTAACTATGTCTTTTTCAAGCTTTCATTTAAATTTGGAGAAACTGTCCATGCACACTTTATGAGACCTAAAGTACACATGTGGGGCTTAAACTCCTTTCTAACTCTTTGTGCCTCATTCCTGTAGACTTAACTGAACTAACAAAGAAGATTGAGTCAGGATTAGCTTCTATTCACCCAAAATACCAATGGGCAAATGTTAGCAGTCACTGCCTGGGAGTTCCAGGTGAACTTTTCAGTAATAAATCAACCAAAAAAGAGATAAACAGGCCTAAAGTTACAATGAAGGGCATTCACCAATTATTTTAGACAGAGGAGTAAAAAATTGTTGTTTCAATGTATGAAAGCAAGGTGGGGAGTGCAGAAAGGAGCAGTGTAAGAGAGTCTCAAACCTTAAATAAATAGAATTTATTTTTTTTTTTTAAATATCATGAAGACTAAAGCTTTAACAAGAGGTGGTTTTTTTTTTATGGTTCTTTGGAGCTACATAATGTAATAAATATTTGTTCTACTGGGATACGTCACATTTCCCCAGGCAGGTGAACTGCAGCTGGCAGTGTCTAGAAAACTGCAGCTGGGAGAAGGACCAGTTAAAGTAAATCTGTCTGTCATGGATTAACAGAATCAAAATGAGATAACATAATGTCTTTGTCTCAGGCAGGACAACAAAGAGAGTAAAATATAGTGCCCCAAAAAACTGAACATACTCAGACCCAGATTTAAATGGGTAGAAGCCAGCTTACCTTGCTGAGGTTCTTTAAAGATCAAAATTTTCCTTATACAGTGAATATCTTGTTTCTAACCACATCAGCATAAGTTCTTCTTCTTTCTGAAAAGGTTTTCTGTTTACCTTCATATCAGTTAGTGTGAAAGAGTGTATTCATCTGCATCACTCTCATAAACAAATTTTAATGGCTTCCAAACGGCTTGTCTTTTGTTAAGGTCAAGCATCTGTCATTTCTCTCTAGATCAAGCACTGCAATAGTACATATACACAAAAATTAGGATAGTCAGTACCTACATAGGATGAGACACAGGGATATTACTGAAGTCACACGCTTGCAGGAGAAGTGTTCTCGTACTCCAGGTAATGTGGCGTGCCATGAAGTAGGACTGAAGAAGTGTTTCTTGAACTCAGATGTACAGTCTGAAAAAAACAAAAACAAACAATCACAGATTCTATTTCTTGATTAATAGATAAAATATGTTTATTCCACTTAATTTCAAAAAAAAAAAAAAAAAAAAAAAAAGAAAAAAAAAAGGAAGAAAAAAGCCTAAAGCAAAGCAATAATTCTTATTTTAATTTCTTCTCTCTTCACTATGGCAAAAGAAGCTCCATCCTTTTAATTTCTTGTCTGGCACTGACTTCATTTTAAATACAACCCAGCAGAGTACTCAGTTGCCAAACTGCTGCATTTTTAAACATTCTAAATAGGACATTAGTTCTTAGCATGAATGTTTTGAAATCTGATCAACAAGCCGTTTCTCAATACATTAGGCAAAGCAAGCAAAATTAGGTTGTTTTATGTCAGGTACTTAGCACAAATCCCTTAATAATGTGTTTGAGTGCAGAAACCATTAATAAATGCATAATTCCCTAAGACAGGCTTGATTAATTAAGTCATATGTGTATCCTTCTAATTAAAAAAAGAACATTAGACAGATGAGTGGAATTTCTGAGTACAAAATTCAAAGGCTGTTTTGCTTTTATTTGAACAACGAAAGAAAAGCTGCTCGTTAATATAGCTGCCAAAAAAACAGCAAGAGTGCTGACACAAACCCCCCAAACTCTGACTTGTTCAAAACAGCTAAGTATTTACTTGCTTATTTTTAGTCCAATTTTTAATCAGGTAGCTGCTTGATTAATCCAGGCAGTTCAAATTACAAAGGCAGCTGGTGCTAATATATACATAAGTAGATGATATGTTGGTTGCATTTCATCCAGTAAATTGTTTACAACCAAAATCTCACAGGTTTTTACACTCTCAGGAAAAACGATTTTATGAAAAAATAACACTCTAATGGCTGGAACTGGCTCTTCTCAATACTTTACTGCAGACTTTATTGCTGTGTGGACTGCAAATTTTGGTGTTATAACAATTTGTAGCAATATTGAAGCAATAGGTATTTTTAAGTGCATAGCTTTTCTCATAAAACAATTAGCTTTTTGAGGTTCCGTGCTAAAACAAGTAAACAAAAATAGAAAAACAGAAAACATAATGTTATGAGACATAACAGGAACATAAAAAATTCTGCTAAGCTAACAAATACTGTTAAGCATAACAACTTGGCCAAGGTGATTTTTAAGGATAAGTAGGATTGATAACAGTCAGCAAAATTTTGGTATAATAATGCTACTAAGCCAAATAAGGTTTTACAGTACTGGGCCTATTGAAGATAAATGGTAAATTTAGTGGCTCACAGGTGGGCAAACCTGGTACCTGTCAGGCACAGACAGCAGACTGATCTGCAGGATTAATCCCAGCTGGGAAAAGGACTCCACTGCTTTGTGTAGGGGGCTTGAACTTTATGAACTTCAGAGATCATTCTGTGACAGTGGCCCTTGAAGCATTGCCCTCCTTACAAGAACACCATGTCCCATGGCTCTTTAATGTACAGAGAAGTGCTTTGACTTTGGTGAGAAAATGACCAGGTGTGTAAAAGCAAGAGGGAAAACAGTAGGAAACAATGACTAAGCAGCAGAGACGGATAGACTGGCTAGAGACTTGATGAAATACATTGCACCCATGGGACAGGATGGAGAGAGAAAAGGAGAAACAAGGGTGTAGAAGTGATTTGAGTAAGATTTATGAGCACCCCAAGAAACTAACAGACCTAACAAAAATGGCAAAGGGCTTGAATCTCATGGCCTGAAAGAAGCTGAAAGTTAGATCTAGTTGAAAAGCCACTGTATTGGTTTCTCCAAATGCAACCGGTGATTCAAAGAGATTAAGTATTTTAATTCTTCCACTGCTATATTCAGTATAAAACCAGCCAGAAGGCTGCTGTATGTAGTCCTAATTGGTTGGTGCAGCTCAATTTCCAGTCCAGGCCTTATATCTAGGCAATTACATAATTCCCAACAAGAGTAACAAGGCTGAAATAAGGCCCACCATGACTGCTATTTCTATCCCCTGTGTCTTCCTCTAAAAGAGAGTTGGCTACAATGATGGAGAGAGTGACTGAAGCTTAGACAAGCTGAGTCTGCAGCTATGAGGACAATACATTACTGCCACACAATGAGTGCAAGATGACTTGCTGTGTTGGACATCTCTAAGAGCTTACATATGGGCACAATTGTTGTGCAATCTGGAATGTGACTTTGAATTAAGTGGGAATGTACTTTATTAGACAAGTAAGAACTGCACACAACTCATCATGTGAGTTCCAACTCCCTGTGCTGCAAGTCTGAGATTTCCACTCAGAAACAGATATTAGAGTACCTCTATGAAAAAAGACATACAAATCTGCACTTGCCCTTGCCAGCTTTTGCCATAACATATATTCAGGCCTCTACCAGAGTTATTAGTAGACTGATACACTAACCCTACTCTAAAAAATCCAGTAAAGAAGAGTTAAACCAACAAGACATTCATCATAAGACAACAAATCCTGTTACTAAGAGGTTAGAGAAATACAGAGAAATCTAAAGAGACAAGATCCTGGAAATGAGCAAAAAGAATATGTACAGTAAAAATCAGGTTATAAAATGCTTATATGAGGAGAGAGTGTTGTTACAAGAATCAGACTTGAAAGCAGCTTGCCTGTTGATGTGGTCAATAAGTATGACAGGAATGACAGAGAAAACAAACACAATCAGTCTAGATTTAAGTGTTTAATAGTATCTCCTGTTAGAAAACAGGCTCCAGCTTGGCCTCAGTTGGAGACAAGGAAAAGAAAATAAAGTTTACATATTCTAGAAGGCTTTGAGCTTAATGGAATTAAATTTTGGCATAAAAAGAAGTAAAATCTATCCTAAAAATCAGTCACCTTTTACACTAATTTTTCTATCTAACAACTCAAACTCTCAATGCCTTCCTGAACTATAATTAAATCCATGCACTAATTTCTTCCTGTAAGAAAACTGTCTTCTTTCTAATGTTTACATGCAAGCCTAGTGTCTCCTGTTGTTCTAACCCTCCAGATCATTCCTGTGCTATATTCCATCTCCCATGCCCTTTGTCTGCTGCCTTCCTGAAAGATTTGCCAAGCTTAACACAATCTCAAGAAGTTATATCCTCTCTCATATCTCCCACTCACCAAATTCTTCCTTTCTCTCCTTCTTTCTACCGTTCCATTCACAACCTTGTCAAAAGCCTATGCATTTTGGTTGGGGTTGTGGTGTTTTAATTTTGATTGTTTGTTTTGGTCTTTTGAGAAAAAAACAGCATAATTACCAGTTATGCTGCATATTGTATGCACTAAAATGAGATCTAGAGTGGTCTGGAACCCAACAGTCTGACTGATGAGGCTATTCCTATTTTAGGTGATCTCAGAGTGTGAAGTCACACTGATTTACAAACTGACATCAAAATCAGACCTTACGCTGCAGACAGGCATTGAGAATAGTCCAACAGATAGATTTTTGTCAGTATTATCAGTTTTCCTTAAGCATTTTTTTTTTTGCTATTGCATGTCCTTGGCTCTTGCCTAGCAACTCATTAGAGTTCAAGTCTATTCCCTGAATACCAGCACTCTATCATAGCTTATCTTCCCTTTGGACACAGCTCAGATTAAGAACCAGGTCCACATGATCTAGTCTTCTAAGGTCAAAAATCACACAAACAAACAAACAAAAATTAAATTGTTGAGATACAGAAGTTATCCTCTCTATCAAAAATATTTTTCCCTTCATTGTTTCTTTTACTTTCTTCTGGACCAAAAAAACTAAGAAACTTGGACAATTCAAGAACAAATTTTAGAAGTAAGCACTCATTTTTCCTCTTTGTATTTTTAAAATTTTTTGGGGGGTTTTTTGGTTGTTTGTTTCTTTTTACAATATTTCTGTTTTGTAGAAAATGGCTTACAGTCCAAGTATATACTCCAGGGCTCCAAAAGCACTCATTTTCACCTTCCTTACATACATATGTTTCCTATAGACTTGAAGCAGCATTTAGATTGGGTTTGTTGACAAGCTTCAAAAAACAAGGGAAAAATATTTGTCCATTTTCAACTTAACTAAGAGGAACATCTCTTTCCTTGCAAGAACTCGTTCTGGTGACAGATGATGCAGCATGGACATCCAGAGACAAGTTTCCTCAACAAGAAAATTACATTTACTTCCCTTGTACACAATTCCAGTGTTACTAAATGTTTGCAGATCATTCACTGCAGGAGGCAAGGGCATAGCCAATTCAGACTGAAGCCTGGAACAGAGATAAATACTGAAATTCTGGAACTCACCTAACAGTTCAGGGTCTGGAGCCAGGACCAGAATACAAGCCAAGGCTGAAGCCAGACAGGAACCAAACAAGCTGCCAAGAGGCAGAATCCAGAGCCAGGATATGATCCAAGGGTTGTGAGCCAGAGCCAAGATACAAGTCAAAGGTCAGGAACAGATGCCAGGGACTTGGATCAACACTAGGCTTCAACCGTTCAACAGCTGAGGAGAAAATACAGACACCACTTTAATGCCCAGCAACTAACTACATGGGATGGCCACACATGTGACTGTGCTGCTGAAAAGCATCAGCCCTCTCTCACCCAACAATTTCTAACAGACTCCAGCCAGCACCAAGCTCAGGCCAAAGCCAGCAGTCCAAACTCAAATAAATTGCAAACTATTGTATCACAGCTAAGTGATGGGGTACAAGCTAATTTCTGAAAGTGGCATCACAATTTACTTGCCCCCACAGCCCTGAATCAGCTTGACAGCATAGCTCATTACACATATCACATGCATGTGGTGCTGTACCCTTGTGTCTTTGGCAGGGTAAGTGAGATCATCCACTACTGACAAGAAATAGGATCCCTAGATAACTGGAGATTGGAGCACAGAAAAGTTACAGGTACACAATTACTTTTGAGGATAGTTTTATCAAAAAACTTGTTGCTATAAAAACAGATAGTCCCATAATGTCAGATGGCAATCTGGTGCCTTTTTCAATAACAAGACTGTCATACTTGCTCAGACAAAATTTAGGAAAAAAAGACCAAGTGTAAATATAACCTTGTGTGCAGACACAGACAAAGAGCCTCAGCATCATAATTAATTCACTTTCTCCTATAAAGTCTGAAAAGTCTTAAATGAGAATTAGAAATTTTAGAAATCAAAGTAGGAGAACAGCATGAACTACCTTATCACAGTCTTTGGATAACTGGAGGAAAACAAAATCAGTAGTTGCATGCAAGCTGTAGATGGAAAAAGAGTGGCTTATCTAACCAGTCAGAAAATAGACCCTAATGGTGGAGGAATGAACCAAGATTGATAATCAGAGCCCATTGCACTGATGCCTCCAAAGCTTATTCAATTACAATGAAAAGCACTGATAAAATAGTGTTGTCTAATTTGCCCTGATTAAATACCTGACATTTTCCCAGACTTCATCCTCTCTGTATCAGGTTTGAAATAAGTTTTAATGAGATACATATATTCCTTTAAATCAGCCTTCAGTTTTTATTTTTCTAGATGCAAAATTTCAGGCTTTGTAGCAAGAAACAAATTGTATATTTTCAGCATCCAAAATCATCAGGAGTCATGGTCTCCACACTTTTCCATGTTTGCATTAAACATTCTGATGACCCAGGTGAGATAAATGACTGCTTATGAAAGCAAAAGTTGATGTTTTTCACTCCATTTTCTTTACAAATAATTTTTAAATGCATGAAAAGGTGAAATAAGTTTGTTTTGGAGATTATAGTAGTTTCTATTGTAGCCCCTTAGGCAGGAGAGTAATAGATAGGGTTGTGCAAAATATTATTGTTTTGAAATATGTTAGAAAATAAAATTGATGGGGCATATAAATCAAATAATGGCTTTTTCTCTTGTTTGCTAAAAAACCCTAAAACATACTTCTCAGATTTCAGAAAGCTTTAGGCTTTCATGTGGCTTACTAGAAAATCAGCGCATACTCTAAGTTTCCTCCATGAAAGAAGCTGCGAAATGATTGCAGAGAGGTTTCCAGCTAAAATTTTGGGTGTGAGGGGCAGAAGGGAAAGACGCATTCCTTCTTTAATTTTTTTCTTTTTTTGTGAGACTGTGCTGAGGATATGGTTGTAATTCTTCTCACCAAATAAGCAATACTGCTCCGATACCATTGCTGAAGTCCCTTTCTTTCCTGTCCTTGAAGGTCTATATCTTGCTAGTTAAATACTGAAAAAATCTACTATCAGTAGTGTCAATACCAAAAATGATCAAGCACTTGTTGCAAAGGTGTCAGGCATCTCCTGAACAGCACTGTTAAAACTTTTTTTGCAGACTGAAGAAATATCTAGGGATGAGTCCTGTGGAGTGCTAATACACTTTAGAACAGCTAGAAAGGATTTACTTAGGCTACCCATAAAGCAAAGAAGGGTAAAAGTAGTTTTTATCTTGTGATTTAGCCTGAGGTCTAAAAATACTTCATGACAAGGTTATGACATGTGTCCTACAAGCTCACTTCTATACAGGGAAAGTACCTGGCTGTTATTAAAGCTGGATGGATTGTTAACAACACAGGAGCCCCTGTAATTTCACAGCTGCCTGGAGGGTTCATCAGGTATCTCTTCATTTAAACATCAGCAAGTGCCTGGAAGCAAAACCATATGGGATGAAAAAGGCTCTCCCAGTAAAGTAATTTCTTACTTGTAAATCCTACTAATTTATGACCCCTGTTAATTCCTTGAGCTCTTTGAAGAACTATTACATAAATCTTTTTAACTGTATTATCATCTCTTGCACACAAATCATAATTTATTCTAAGGACTTCAAAGGTCATCAGTTATCCTGACTGCAGCTCCAGACTGACATGGCAATCCATTAAAAACAGAGACTTTTACCAACAAAGTTTTTCACTTTAAATTGTCAGATGACTGAAATTGTTAAGAGGTCACTTTCAAATAGTCATCATATTTTTATCATCTTTAAAATCCTCTGTTAAATTCTACAGTCTATTAAGATACTAGCCATCTTCCCCATGGCCTCTATTATTCAAGAATTATTCAACACCCTCATTATGATATGTAAATGTATATTTGACCTTGATGAGTTCCATCCTCAGTATTGTCCCAAACAAACTCTTAGAATGGAGCACACATCAAAGAATAAGCTCCTGCTTTGTAAATAGATTCAGAAGAAAGGCAGCCTTTTTAATGTATTTCAAGCAACATTTCTTTGGTGTTCAAAAAAGATCTTCCTGCTTCATATCTCTTTATACCCCTGGTTTGAATATGTTCTCTGTATCAAAAGGGCAAAATGTCTGTAAAAATATTTTGAGTGTTTATCATGCAAAGTCCAAAACACACCTCCAGAGGAACTGGAAAAATGTAACAAAAAAAAAAACAAACAAACAAACAACAACAACCACCAACCAGTAAAACCCAAAAATAGGAAAAAAAAAAAAAGAAAAAAGAAAAAAGAAATCAAAAACAACACAAAACCGCCAAACAAACACAACTGAAAAACCTAAACAACCAAAAAAACCCCAACAAATTAAGAAGGCTTGAAAGCAAATCAAACAAAGAGGGATTTACCAAATGGAAAAGGCAGCTGTAATGGCTGAACTATTTTTATCAGTATTCTGACAAATAACACCTCCCGTGCTTTAAATATTTAATGTGAAATCCATGGATTTATATAGCTTACAAAATGCCAGAGGCTTATTATCTTTACAGATTGCATGACAGGAATATTCATATAATTTGATTCCACTTTTTAAGACAACAGGAATTCCTCCAGGTGCTAATGGTAGATAACTTGTGTGCTGCTTCAATAATCTACTAATTATAGAATCCCTCAGGTAGAACAATGTCATTAATCTGATTAAATTATTTATATTTCTGGAAAGCAAAATCTTATTAGGTCCTTGGCATTTGACTGTGTATATTATGCAGCTGTGTTTGCAGTTTATGGTGGAGGGAAAAAGATCTATATTTTACTTAACCATCAACATAGCTGGAAACAGACCAGAGTCTCTTATATCCTAACTTACATTGCTGTTCATAAATTCCAGCGCATACCCTGCATTGAATAGATTGTCCATTTAGAGCACTATAACACTTCTGAGAATAAAGGTTTGTTGCAGGCATTTATTAGGCACCTTATCTTCTCAGGAGTAAAATAACAACAGATATGGATAGATTCTCATCCTCCCACTACATGGCAAGCATGCTAACACTAGTGAAATTATCAGACACTGTAATGTAAGATCAGGATCAACCAACTGCCAGAATTAAAGTGAGGGTTTTAGTTTTCTACTAAATATAGCAGGACCAACAAAAGCAACATATGTTTGCAGAAAGCACAGTCTGATCTCACTTCAGTAGCTTTGATTTTAAAACAGGAAGGAGTGTAGGGGATTGAGAGCTGGTATTAACTTGTAACTTAGCACATAATAATGACACTGAAACTAGATTAATTTTAAGTTAGGGAAAACAGAAATTTTGATTAGTTCTTGCAGCAGATAAGATACTTTCTGCAGCACGCTTCATCACATCACATGGGATAGATAATGCGGTTTTTATAGAGAAGCAAAATTTCCACTGTCATCTCTGTACACCGTTGTGCAATATATCTAACTTCTATTCTGACACATGCCTCCATTTGAAACTTATCTTCCTAAATTTGCATAGCAATTAGACAAATATAACCAACATAAATATGTTCCAATAGAAAAGCAATAAAAATAACAGTAGAATTTAGTAATTAAAATATTAATAATTTTGAGTTTTCTTAAGGATGTGGTTTTGTGTTGCACCTGTTTTAGCTGCTTCATCAGACAACTTACATGTGCAATAATTTACTGTATAATATAAAGCTGTCTCAGTAAGTCATTATTCTGCTAACATTTATTTACAGTCAACATAAATTCGCATCCATTCACAGCTACAGACGGGCTTAAATGTTAGCAGTATCCCTTCAAGCAAAAGATTGCTGTACTGCTTTATGAAGAACATCAACTCATGATCATTTATCTTTTTGCCCTTCTAAACTTCTAGAATATTTAAGTACAAAATAAACTCTACAAAAAAAAAAGTAGAGAACACCAGTGTCCCATTTGGTGTCTATTAAAATAAATGATCTAACAGTTCCTTCTTGCTTTAAAAATATATGAATTTTACATTTCAGATTTTGCCAAGAATTCTAGTTTTGATATTGGAAATAACTTGTACAGTACATACTGTGTGTAGGCAACCATTCTAAATATTGTGAAGCATTATTATGAAACATTGCAAGTCCTAACATTACCGAATATACTAGAGGGTTTTAGTCCTTTATATGAATTACCAAGGATTCCTGCCAGTGCATTACTGTCCATCTATCAAATTTCTGACAAGGGATTAGAAAAAGCACCTTCACATATTCAGCTGACTCTTCTAGCAAAAATAGTTTCAGTTTGTGAGGCATCTCACTTTATGGCAACAAGAAGCCAAAAAAAAGTGTGATAACATATTTCACCTCTGTACTATGCAAATCTGGTCCTACAAAATGTAGGATGTTCATCACAGTGAAAGTGAAAAAGAGTCCTCTTCATCCTTCTAGAGCAACTCCTGCAATGTGTCATACCAAAAAGTCCCTTTGCATAAAACGCAGTATTTGTCTCAGTCCAAATTCACTCCTAGTTGATCTGGCACAGTATTAGTGAGATTGAATAACCATCAACCATTTGTACCATAAGAAAGTTCAGTGCTCTTTTTATCAACAAGTTTCTAATGTGCCTCTTTAAAACAGACTTTTCATGGGGAAGGCAGTTTGCATGGCCCAGATCTGAATGATCTGGGTACCCTAACTAGCATGCTCCTGTTGATTATCACCATGTTGGTAGACTTCCTTAAAATCTCTTAAGTGACATAAATGCCCATTTTTTTCAGACACATCCACTTGAGTGATTGCCAGAGGAAATTTACAAGCCATCCTGAAAAATGCTAAAGTGATGAGTCTTCCATCTGCCTTAAATCACAGGGCTACTAAGCATGTTCCCACAATCAGTTCACTGCTCAGTTGGACAACATTCTCAAGGTTTGATGCTTTCTTAGGCATAAGAAAGTCCTCTGCAAAGAATGAGATACATAGATAAAAGCACTTTTTTTTTTTGTGACCATCTTCACCATTCCTCAGGCCAAGTATGTCTGATTCATATTTGCTAGATACAGGCCATGCATCTGTTAAATAGCCAAGTTTATAGTGAAGAGAAAAAGCATGCAATATCTCAACCTAAAGTGTAAAGACCTCATTTTCTCCTTCTCTACAGCTACTGTGGTATCACAGGGCATTGTCCAGCACATATAATGTTTCTCCAAAATCTACTGCTACATGGAGTGATAAAGATTCAAGTGGGTGGAAAAACAAGATTATTCAATGCTGAATGAGCAGTAAAGGCCTGTTAAAAGCGCTCTGCTAAAGGATTTGAGAGTCTGCTCTAGCAGATACTCTAGTTTTCCTAGGTCCACTAGACATCAAATCCCAAAGCAAGGATTTTTCCCCACCTCTAAGCTGTCATATCACACATCAGAAGACAAATTGAGATTCAGAAGGCACTAAAACCAGCATTGGTTCCTGTAGCTGTTAGTGGGAAGGAGAAGATTATAAGAAATTACAGAATGACCTGTAGATAATGCTACCACATTATTCATAGTTCTCAGTGCAAAACTGTTCTTGGCTTAAGCTATCATGCCTTCTTATCTAATGTGAATGGCTTTCTTCCAGTCTTTTGCAGGAAAGATAATGAACTTCAGCAGGAAGATAAGTACAAGAACCCTGTTATTTAAAAAAAATTCTAAGGCTCCACTTACAAAATTAAATTTGCTTTTGCCCTACACAAGAAAAGAGAAAACTAGTAATACAGATTTTTAAAGATTTAATTCATACATAATATTCTTTTTCTTTCACTACAATTTAAATAGGTTCTAAGTTCTCATGCATGTGTACTCCATTACTGAAAGTTAAACTGCAAAAAGCAGACCAACAGTTTTTCTCACCTGAATGCAAATAACAATACTAATAGACCTCCTAGGGCACAAAAAACTGAAGGAATGCAAGACAGAATAGCACAAGACAGGACTAACAGATAATCTATTTTAACCTGCAGGAATTTCTTTGGCTCCAGTACACTACAATGGCTTGCACAGCTGAGAGGTCTCCTGGGATGAGAGATGGGAAAGAGGGATCAGACAGAATGAGGCATCACAATGCCTTGTCAAAACTGGATTTCAGGTGTTAACCTTTAGTGAGAGATCTTTGATCTTCTGGCAATCCATGATGTTAGTTCAGTGGTATGATTAGAAAGGTGAGCACTCAAAAATATCTGCCAGGCCAGAAATATCTGCAGTATTAAACGTCTACTCACAATGGCTATTACAGTTGCATTTTTTTGTAGAAGGATTACTATTGTAAAAGGTTACAATTTTGCTTTTTTTCCTATATCACAATGTATTTGACTATGTACTATTTTTCGGCAGATTAAATAATTGTGTGTGTAAATGGAAGATATATAGACTTGTGAATTTTTAAAAATTACTATTCTTGCAAAATCAGCAACACATACAAAATTCTTGTTCCTCCTATTCATTAAAAATTACAACCTCAGATACAAAATCATTTACATTTTATGTCAATGAAAAAAAATCTAAAATCTGTCAGAATTTAAATATGCTCAGGCAGGTCTCGTGCCTCCAGCACAATGACACCTGATGTCCTTTACAGGATTTAACAACAAATATCAGCAAATGTATATGAATGCATTAGATGTCTGACTGTTCTTTTTGTCTTCATCATTCTTAAGGCCTCTTTTCCATCCAGTAAAATAATGATATCAGCATCACTCCGATTCACTCTTGGCTTTGTGTGGGTTTTTTAATCCATAATGAATATTGTACCTCTGTCTACTTCATTCTCCTGATTAAACTGGCATGAAACTCAGTAAAACAACAGGTACTAGCAGCCCTAACTAAAGAAAGCTGTCATCTCAGACACATACAGCCCATTGCCTTAGAATCCTCTGGATAATAAATTCAATAACCATTTACAATAAAAATCACTATACCACAGAACTACAGAATTCATGTAATTCAGAGACAATGCAAAACAATATCAATTGTAAGTGTACTTGTGTATAGTGGGTAAGATAGGGACACTTAATTTAATTCTAAAAACTCATCTCAAATGTATATTTTTATTACTTGGTTTAGACCTCAAATGCTAGCTGAATGCAATGCTTATTAGGTTTTGGGAAAAGAGGGCTAGTCAGCCATATCTGCCAAAGGAAAAAGAAATTCTATAGTAGTAGAATGTGGACTATGTATATTCTTATTACTTTTTCTGTCTCTAGATTTCATGGTTGTATAATCAACTATTTATAAATATTGTCTTTTCTCAATGCTTTCAGCAACATGTAAATACAATTTCAATGTTACAATTCATTCTTGGTGCATCAGATAATTCAGCAGTACTCTAAGCCCCAACCCTTCTTGTGTTGCTCAGAAATATCCACCTATATATATATACAACATAGAATTATTCAGGTTAGAAAAACCTTCAAGATTGTTATGTTCAGCTATTTTGCCAGCGCTACCAAGTTCACCACTAAACCATGTTCCTAATCACCATGTCTTTTAAATACCTCCAGGGATGACTCAGACACCTACCTGGGAAGACTATTCCATTGCTTGAGAAGGAATTTTTCCTGATATCCAATTTAAAACTTCCCTGTGGCAACTTGGGTACATTATCTCTCATCTAGTTTCTTCCAACTCAAGAGTAGAGACTGCCTTCACCTCACTACACCCTCGTTTCAGGCAGTTTTAGAGAGTGATACAATTCCATGTCAGTCTCCTTTTCTCTAGACTCAACAATCCCAGTTCCCTCAGCCACTCCTCACAGGACTTGTGCTCCAGACCCTTCACCAGCTCAGTTGTTCTACTCTGAACACACTTCACCACTTCAATGTCTTCCTTGTCATGCGAGGCTGTAAACTGGATTCAAGGTGTGACCTCAACAGTACTGGGTACAGAGTGACAATCCCTTTCCTAGTCCTGCTAGACACATAATTTTTAATACAAACCAGGATGCTGCTGACCTTTTAAGCCACCTGGGCATATAGTGGATCATGTTCAACTCTGTCAACAAGCACCCACAGGTCCTTTCCCCCTAGGCAGTTTTTCAGCCACTCTGCCTGAAATCTGTAGGGCTGCCCGGGGCTGTTGTGACTCCAGTGCAGACCCCACACTTGCCTTGTTGAACCTCATAGTATTGTTCTCAGTTTCAGTCCATATCCCTCTGCGGGGCCTTCCTACACAATAGCAGGTCAACACTCCCACCCAACTTAATGTCATCTGCAAGCTGATTGAAGGGGCACTCACACAGGTAGTTGATAAAGATATTAAAACACAACTGGCCCCCAACCACCGAGCTCTCAGAAACTGTGACTGGCCACCAACAGGATGCAGCACCATCCACCAGCCCTCTCTGGGCCAGGGGTTTTTAACTCAGTTAAGAGTGCACTGGTCTTAAGCCATAGGGCAGCCAGTTTCTCCAGGGACAGTGCCTGTGGGGAAACTGTATTGATGACTTTACTGAAGTCCTGTAGACAGATCCACATGAACAGGCTCAGCGAGTGTTTTCACCAGCTTCCTTGGTAGCCTCAGGGTGGAATCTATTCTGCCCCATAAAATTTGAGAGTGTATGTGGGGCAAGGTTGCTGACCATTTCCCCTGGACTGTGGGGCCTTTCATTTTACTCCCCATCCCTGTCTTCCCAGGCCTGGGGACTGGTACCCTAACTAGGCAAAGAAAGCATTACAAGTCTTAAGCCTTTTTTCCATCTTTCATCGCTGACATGGTATTGGAATGGTACTTCCTTACATGGCATCCTGTAAAAGCTGATCACCCTGTGCTACACAAACACAAAGGCTATACCTCACCACGTGAGTTATTTTCTCGTGCTTCAATTGAAGTGAAGAAGCATACAATAAGGATAGCAACAAGCTCAGAAGTAGATAAAGAAGCTAGCTAAGTAAATGAGAAGTAGCTCATAGATAAGAAGTTGAGGTTTAATTCTCTGACCATTACTGCCCCCAATGGTGCACTTATTATAGGTGTAATTAATTCTAATTCTAATCCTCCTCAGTATTTACATATTAGGAACAGGGCTAAATCTTCTCTAAAAAAATATAACATGCTATATATCTTTATGTCTAGTATTCATCACATTCATGTATATTATTTTTCAGGAGTATCTCCACTGTTTGGGATAATTTCTGAATGAAGACTGTATGGTCGGTCTAGTTCAGAAATTTCCTGGTAAATTTTCTGCTCCATAAACCACCAAAAGATCTAAAAGTTTCCTTGCCACTTATTAAAACTGATGGCCATTTCTGAATGCTTCTCAATATCCACCCAAAGAACTAGAGAATGGAGCTCCCAGCCTTAAGACCCCCTTGAATTCTCACGGAATGTACTCACTTTAAACCTTCCTTCCTGGAATGGAAAAAAATATGACCCTCTTCCTTCTGAATTTTTAAAACTTTAAAATTACAGGGTTTTCAGGCAAAGATACGGGAAAAGGAATACCAGTTTAGTTTGCAGGTATGTGTCTGTGTAACCAGGCAAGCAAACAGGCAGTGCTGGCGCAGCAATCGAGAGCAGAAATCCCAGCCGAGTCTCTTCCCGCTCCCTCGGCACTCCGTGGTGCGGTTCCGGCCGCAGCCGGCAGGGAGCGCTGCTGGCTCCCGGCGGGGCCGGGCTGTGCGGGGCTTCCCTGCCCTGCAGGGGGCGCTCCGGGCGGGGCGGCCCGCTCCCTCCGCGGCAATGGCGGCTCAGGCGAGCAGAGATGGTTCCCGTGTGAACCTCAGGGGGAGCAGCCAAGTCTCAACAGCATCCCGGCACGACCTGGACTGCAGCAGGGACCTTGGAGCAATGGGCTGGAACAGCAGAGGCGAACAGATCCAAGGCAGCAAATCAAAGTGTAGCAGTGATGTCGGCACATCAGCAGGAACAGCGGCTGGGCAGACCCCAGGGGCAGGGGTGGGATTAAAATATAGCAAAAACCTCAGTGGAGCAGTGGGAAACGGTGGGGGCCAGATGCGGAGGGAAGCCGACCTAAGTGTAGCAAAAGACCCCAGAGCAGTGGCCAGGAAACAACAGGGGCAAGCAGATCCAGTTGGGCGGCAATGGACCTTGGTGTCACTCACTGGCAGCAATGGTGAAGGCGGGCAGGTCCAATCAAGCAGCGGTTGATGTTGGTAGCCAGTAGATCAGAAAAAAGAAAAAGACCACAGGAGCAAACCACAGCTCAGCCCCAGCAAGGAAAGGGACAGGCACCTGCTCCCAACACCACACATGGCTGCTCTCCACTCTGATTGCAGAGAGGAAAAAGGGCTGAGCCCAGCCCCTGACCCTCAGCCAAGTCTCAGACTTCAATATCTCATGATATCACTGCACTTCCCAAGAGAAACCCCTCAGCCAGAGAGCTCACTCCCTAGCTAGGAGACTGCTGCAACCACACCCTTCCCCTCTCCTGCCCCAGGACCATTCAGCGGAATTTGAAGATGCTGAGTCATGTTTTTGTCTCTTAATACTGTCCATTCATCATCTCCAGGACAAAAAATGGGAAAGAAAAATTCCCTGAGAGAAAGAAAAAAAAGAAAAAAACTAACATAACAACATGAAGATATTTTACTTTTCCTTTTCTGTAGGAAGGTTTGGAATTTCTATTTCTTGTTTTCAGGTTAGCTAGAATTTTGACTTTAGGACTTCTTATATCTGAAGTAGACAAATCATTTATCATAAGAACAGGAACACCACAGAAAAGTATTTTTCTCTGCAATTCACCTTCCTCAATTCTCCCATGGGTCCATTTGGTGCTTTTAAAATTAGAATTTTAACATAGTGGTCAGACCAACATCCTTGCCATATACTTTACTTCCTTCTAAAGGCTGTCTGGATGGTGAAGGCAGCTAAGATCTGAGTAGGCACCAGATGCAAGGGGGAACTGGGATCTGTTGACCTGTTGGCCTAGATTGCAAGGCACGATGTTCTATCTGTCATCTGTTAGAGGTGTGGCAGTTATCTCCTGTTAATTGGGCATTTTTCTTTATCTCTTTCACAAATCAATCCTCCCTCCAGGGAGACATTTGCTGTTAATGGCCATAGAATGTCACTGCATGACTGATAAAAGGTTACAGCATCCCATTGTGAGCTGCTCCACCCAGAGGGAGGAGCCAAGCATTCTTACCTGGATGTAATCTGAGATTTTGGGACAGCAGGGCATTTTTCACTGGATTCCCAGAAGAACAGCTGGATTTTTCCACTGCACCTTCAGAGGAAGGACTACACCCTTCTACAGGATCACTGTTCCAATAGAACCACATCTGCCACCCAGGAGGACAGCAGCCACTCCAATTTGGACTGCTACCAACACCCTGACCAAAAGAGTGTCAGGTTGTATTCTGACTCTGTCAGTGGTTTTTCTTTTGTAGCATTGCATGTATTTTTGGTTTTTTCCCTCTTCCTAATAAATTGTATTTCTGTCTTGGAGTCTCTCACTAGTTTGGCTTTCAAACCAGAACGCCTGTTACCCTGAGTGCAAATGCAGGTTTTGACCAGGCAAGTTGGCTCAAGCAAGGCCAGCAGCAGCACCAGTTGCAGCTCAGGCAGCCAGCACTGAGTCTGCCAGCAGCACCATCATGACTGGGGGGAACCTGTAGAGGACTTGCACAGCTCAGCTCTCAAAAAAGAAAATACTTAGTTCATCTTGGCTGTACTACAGATTCCCCCTTGGCAAAAAGAGAGCACCCTTCCTCAGGCTTTTCACAACTTCTCACAACAATCTGATGCAATCAGTACACTAACCTTGAGAAGGGGTGTTTTTGGCAGATATCACCTCATGCATGGGTCACTTTGCTGTGAGGCAGAGACACCCAGTTATATACTCTGATCCCAGTTTATTTTCTGCAAAAGAAAAGCGTTATGCTGATTATGCTGCTCCACTGCTGCTTGTCCATTGTGCATCCAAGAGAGCTGCAAACTGGCACTAAGCTGATTTATATCCAGTGGTGGATATGAATGAAAAGATGAGAAGATTCATGGCCAACTAGATTCAGTCATAAGATCATTTTCATGTTTATGATCATATATCTGTGATGGGCATTACTCAGAGATACAAGCTGTGCCAAAGGAGAGAGATCAAGATTATTGCAAAGCCCCAAACAATAAAAATAAATCCATGTTTGAGGAGGGAGATGCACACATTTCATCCTTGCCTAGAATGACTCATCAGCACTCCTCACTCTATGCAGCCTGAGGAGCTACCCCAGAGCTTTCTTCCCTCTCCCTCACTTATGAACCCTGTTGGCCATTGATTTACAGCTATATTGCTTTCCCTGCACACATATAGGCATATTGTGCACAGAAGTTCAAGAATTATTGTTAAATAACTTTTTGTCAGCAAATAGGGATGCAATCGTATTAGCTTTCACTGCCTGACCTTACAGCCACACTACCCTCCACTTACGAACATTGGTTCTTTTTCATCATAACATTGATGTAACAAGGAATTATTATAACCATTTCATAGATACAGAGTGATTAAGCTGTTTGCCCACAGTCAGCAGCAGATTCCACAGCCAAAGTCATGAAATTTATAATCCCACAACTTGAAAAGTACAGTCATCTGTCATCTGTCTCTTGATTACTCTAATGCTACATAAGAATTTCCATGGACAGTCATGTCCCACTGCTTTCTAAAGCTCAATGACCATTTCCAAAATTTGCAAATAATGGAATAAGAGAAGGAAGACATTTATAGGACAGGTTTATCTTTAAGCTTAAGAACAACATGCAGATCAATTGCACAATAAAACCTCAGGGGGATTATAAAACAAGTATCATGTTGTATACATTAGAGCAGAAAGGAAAACAGCCTAGTACAAAGGAAAAATACTTCAAAACTGCAGCAATGGTCAAAGAACTACAAATACATTTATTTAGAAGTTTCTTTGGGAAATCTTAATGAGAAATCTTGATCACCCTGGACAGAGCCTCCTAGGAGGAGTCTTCATGCTCCTCTAGCCTTTAAAAGCAAATGTATCACCATTGCTTCAAATTCCCCCACCTCTCACTCCTGCCCTTGACAGTACATTTAGTTCTATAGGACATTTCCCATATCAGAAGAACACAATGCCAACTCAATGTATAACTTCCCTCTTAAAAGAGCTAATTTAAACATTAAGACATCTAGTTCCCAAACAGAATCTTAACCCTGAAGAAGGTATTTCCTAAAGAGAAAGGTGTAAAACTTAAGCCAGAAAGTTGCTTTTCCAGATATACATAACCTAACTTGAAGACTTCCTGTGTTATACCACATCAAAGGAAAAACACTTCCTCCCATTCAGTTCACAATTAGAAACCATGTGAAATGAGAAGGAACTACACATGAGCTATACAATTTCAAAGTGTAAGGTAAGAAAAATATTTTCAATGCTCTATTCCTGCCTTATACTGCATACAGATTTTTTTAAGTCCAAATAATTTTCCTTTTATTTTTAAGGGGCTAAACTTCTGCTTTGTTTCAATGTAACAAGTACTTTGGAATATTATTAAAAGTTTGCACCATTTTTAATTGTTGCATATCTACATGATAGAAAAATAGTCTTTTGATCATTCATAAATTCTTCCTGCCTCTCTACTCTGCTCTGGTGAGAT